TGGAGAGTCAATATCACTAGTTATTTCTGTACATTTAAATGTCTTTTATGGTGCAGCTTGGATCCATTGAAGTCAATTAAAGTTTTGCCAGTGCTTTAAAGCAGTGGTCCCCAACCTTGGGCCTCCAGATGTTCTTGGACTACAACTCCCAGAAACCTTCACCACCACCTCTGCTGGCCAGGATTTCTGGGAGTTGAAGTCCAAGAACATCTGGAGGCCCAAGGTTGGGGACCACTGCTTTAAAGGACCAGGAATATACTCTTTAGATCTCTAGTCCCAAGACTGTTCAGGATGCAGGTACCCCAACAGTTTATACCATATAATTGTGTGCCATCAAGTCAATGCTGACTTACAGTGACCCTCTTCAGGGTTTCCTAGATAGTTTCTAGATGGCATATAATTTCCTTCTTCTGGGAATGGGCATCCTGGGACTATGCAACTTGCCCAAGCCCACACAGGTGGACTCTTCTAGAATGTATAGTGGGGAACTGAACTTCTAACGTTTGGCTCCACGGCCAGATCCCTAACTCAGACTGAGACAACATGGACAAATATCACAGGATTTCCTCTGCTTATAAAGTAAGTAAATTTGAAGTATTTTTTACTAACCACTTGATGCAAATGCTGGTTTGAATCATTCCAGACATTTTTTGCTCCCACCAAAAAAAAGTCTACTTTTTAAAGCTGGAACAATTCACAAGGGTTTTTTTCTGTGTGGTTAGTTATTATACATTCTTGTAAAAATCAGGGGAGGCATATCTGTAAGTGATGTTCCAGTGATGTGGGCTATGGATGTGATGTTCAGGACCAAGGAAGCATTCCCACATATTCTTTTCTCCAGTTTTTTTTTAAATATTAACTTAGCGCTAGATCATCCTATCAGCTTTTTTTCTGCGTCATCGTTATTATTTCCTACATTTATGCTCCCATCGGATCAGCAGAGGCAGGATCAGAGAAAGGAAGGAAAGAAGGAAAGAAGCAGGGCTGTGGGCTGGAATGTGTATCATAGCACATCCACTATGAATGGTGAACTCCCAAATTAATCCATAGCCTCTGTGTGAGCACTGACTGCTATTTCAAAAGTAATTCAGGCAGCAAATCCAATGTGGTATAGCCACACCCTCACTGAGCTATCTAGCCAGCTTTCTCCCTATATATAATTAACATTTAATTTCACCTCAAACAGTCCATGCTGCAATGGCAGCTAATCAGACATTGATCTAAGTGTCTTCACAGTGGTAGACATGAACATTAACTGTGTAGAGCAGGAGTTTCATTACTTTTCTTTAAGGTTTAGGCTCTTCTTCCTCTTCACCCTCTTATTTATATTGTGATTCCTCCAGAGAAGATACAGAACTTTTTCTCCCCTCTTGCAGGAAAAAAACAAAAATACAAGCATTTCCTACAAACCATTTGACTGTTAAATGTGCTTTTAGAGTTTTAAACTGCTATATTGTTATAACTTTCCTGTTCCAAATGGCTTTTAACTGAAATAACATCAAATGTGGGTCTGATGGCAACTTTTAGAATATATATTTTAATTGCATTTTAATTATTTTGCCCTTTTATTTTGCCTTTTTATTGTATTTTAAATGCTGTAAGCCACCCAGAGACCTTCGGGTAGTGTGGGCGGCATATAAGTCAAATAAATAAATAAATAAACAAACAAACAAACAAACAAACAAACAAACTTATATTTTTAAACTCTGTTTTTCATGACTGTACCCAGCTTGGGATTCAGAAAGTAAAGGGTAGAAATAGTTTCAATAAATAAATAAATCAAGCCACCAATGGTATTATTTTCTCTCAAGCAGTTTCATTATCATATTTAGGGCCATAAAGTAATTTCACTGCAGTCCATTACTTACTATAGCTTCTTGTCTGTAGCAATTTACCACTTATCTCTGTGCTGTGAGCTTTTTGACAGGAGCCTTTACTTATCAGCAATGTCCTAGAACCCACACCTTTACTTGGGTGCTTTTTTCTCTACTGCTGATGGGTTGCCCTGCAGATATTTTTAAAACAGAAGCATATCTACCAAAGCCAAGGCTCAAAAGTAAGTCGCCATACTGTGTGATTGTGCTATGAAGCCAAATCGAGCTTGGGAATTTATATCCATAGAATGAAATCATCTTTTTCATTTTCAGTGTAAATGATCTAATACAATGTAGAATTACTTCCCAGGTATGTAACAATTTAGCTTCATCTTTGAATTTAATGCCTTACTACACTCTGCAATGCACTGCATTACTATTACATTGTACAAAAACATATAGAGGGCAGAACACAGAAGCACCTCAGATTTAGGTATTTTCTTTTGACAGTGTTTTCAAATGAAGTTGCATGTGCTTGCAATGCTATTTGAAAGGAGAAGCAATGTACTGTACTGTGACAGAGTCCGAGACCATCACCCTAGTTACAGATAGAGATGGGCATGAACTTCAGTTTGGAGGTTTGTTCTAGTTCATACACATGGCACCAGAGGTACCACACGTTCCCTTCCCCCACCTCCCTTGCTGGATTCCCCACTAAGCAGGTAGCACACACTCCTCTCATCCTCCTCTTTGGCTGTTCAACCAGGGAGCACAGGCTTCCCCGCCCCACCTCCTTGGCTGATCACCCACTCAGAAAAAGGAGGTAGGACAGGCAAACCCATGCTCCTGCTTGGGACTGGCCAGGCAGCTGAAGAGGAGGAGGAGAGGAGCATGGTGAGTGGGTGGGGAGACAGGAGAAGGGAATGTGCAGCACCAGCATGAACCTCCAAACTGAGGTTCATACCCATCTCTATTTACAGATGGTTTCAGCACCCTTTTAAAATTATTCTTTAAAGTGACTTTTTGAACTCTGTGTGAAGTGCCTTAAAGTGCTGCTACATCCCTTAATTTTAGCTGAGTGTAAAATCCATTGTTTTATTAATTTAATTGGTTTTAATATACAGTTTTGTATGGAATTTCAAACTTATTATTGTACATTTTAATTGTTGTGAGCCATCTTGGGTCCCCTATGATGAGAAAATCAGTGTATAAATAAATAAATAATAGTGTGTATAAATAAATAATAGTGTCCATGTTCTCTGATGGTCTGTTGTTATTTGTTGTCATTAGATTTGCCTGGTCAGCAGCTGCAAAAAAGGGAGACACCAGATATTTTAGGCTACATTAACAGAAGTGTAGTCTCCAAATCCTGTGAAGTACTAGTCCCCCATTACTTAGCACTGGTTAAGCCTCATCTTGAGTACTGTGTTTAGTTCTGCACTTCTAGAAGGATGCAGATAAATTGGAACAAGTTCAGAGGAGAGTAACAAGGATGATCAGGGGACTGGAAACCAAATCCTGTGAGGAAAGACTGAATGAAGTGAACATGTTTAGTCTTGAGAAAAGAAGACTTAGGGGAGATATGATAGCTTTCTTCAAATACTTGGAAGATTGTTATACATACAGGAGACAGGATCTGTTCTCAATAATTCCAGAGTGTGCAGGACATGTAATAATGGGCTCAAGTTACAGGAAGCCAGATTTTTGACGATTATCAGGAAAAGCTTCCTGTTAGAGCAGTATAACAATGGAACCAATTAACTTGGGAGGTTGGGCATACTCCAACACTGGAGACATACAAGAGAAAATTAAACAACCTTGCTTTGATTTGAATTTCTGTATTGAGCAGGAGGTTGGATTTGATATTGAGCAGGGAGCTAGACCTTATAGGCATCTTCCAACTCCATTATTCTATAATTTTATGATAATTAGAGCTGAATGCATGTTGATATTAAAGAGCCATCACTGGGGCAGTCCTTTACTGAAATCAGACTTCGAAGAAATGTTATGCTTATATTTTGAAGATTATTCCCAAAATAAAGGAAACTAATTTACAAATCACCAAAAGTGAGAGAATGTCATTCTGTGACACTATGATACTCTCATACAATCAGCCCTTAAATAATTTTCTCTTCTAATTATGAGCTGTTGGAACTGTGCCGATTTGGGTCCAGACTAAAATTCCCAGAATCCCTTAGGGAGCATGGCCAATGGTCTGTAATGTGATGCCCAAGAGTTTTCATAGTTAAAGGCTGGTCAGAATTTAGCAATATAGTTGATGGAGTTTTTATCTGTTCAGTTGTACCAAGAAATAAATTGCAAAGTACCAGCAGAGCAATACTTGGAATTTTGTGTATATAAAATGAATCTAGTTTTAGAGCTGATTAATCAGTACTAGAATTACTAAATGTGCCAGTGACACTTAATTTAGAAGTGGTATAGAAAGTAATTGATTCAGAACTGTCTTGCCTATAACCTAAAATTGTGAGATGTTATTTTCTTTGAAAAACAAACCAGACTTTCTCTTAAGAAAGATAAAAGCCCAGAGTCTGGCTGGGGCACATTCAGCCTTCCAGATCTGCTGCACTTTAGCTCTATTATCCCCCAGTGGCTGCTATATCAGGTAGGGCTAATGGGAGTTCTCATCTCTAGCTTAAAGGAAAAGGTCTCTGCTTCTAGAACTGCCGCCAGACAGAGAGGACAAGGCAAGGCTGGAAAGCCATTGATGGCATTCTCTTTCCTAAATGGTTCAGGACTTCTTGTAGTCCTTGTAGGACTGTCATATGAGTCTGTTGAAATCTAGCTGGGAAGTCTTGCCCCACATACTGCTATTGGCTGAGGAAAGAGTGATGCAGCAATTGGACATGTTTTTAGGACTATCTTTCCCAGAATCCCCCACTCTACATGCCAACTGGTTTCTGCAAGTTGTAGTCCAAGAAAGTAACCTTTCCCTAGCCCTAAACTGTTAATCTAGAACTTACACCCTCACACTATTGTCTGTCTTATACAGTAGTTTGGGAAATCCACTTCTGGTTCTGTTGCAGCAGATCTTCCGTTTAGAACTGGCTTCTAGAACTTGGGTTGCCAGGTGAGCAGGATTCCATTCCCTGATATTTCCATTGGTTGTGTGGAACACTGGTGATGTCACATAGGGCAGTCCTTGTGATATCATAAAAGCTAGGCAGGCAAGAATTCAAAAACCGTAAGAGTTTCAAGTCAGCAAACAGTAGAAACTGGCTTGAAAGGAATTCTGGTAAAGGAAAACATAATTAAATATGTAGATCGTATGGGAACTCATAACTCAGGGGAGAAAAAATTTCAGTGGCCAGCCAGGGAAGAAAAGGAGCCCAACACCTGCAGTGTTTTCTGCCACTCCCATCTTACATCAAGAAGTCTCCTGATTTGTGATGTTGGAGCTCCACTTTATTTCTTACTCCAAATGGCATCACAGGCCCAAGAACATCTCTCTCTTGACCCCCTCCACTTGCTCCTGCCTTCTGGTGTGCCAGTGTTACACAAGCACAGCACCTACAAAAGCACCTCTGTGCTGAGCTCATGAGTCCTGATGCCCATTGGGAATGGGTGGGAATGGATACCCAGACTATCAGCCTGTCCAAACTGGCTGTTTGGGGTGGATCAGGCTACAAAGGGTCTGCTGAAGTTGGGGGGGAGGAATGATGCGCCATTTGGCATACTCCTCTTGTCTGAGCATTAAATGACCCCTTGCAGCCTGACCAGCTGTTCTCCCTGATTATCTACAGAGAACTTTGTTTTGCATTGCTCCTCTCTCCCCTTGTCAGTGCTGTTTCATTTTCTTTCCCTTCCCCCTTCCCTGCTTCCTTTCCCTCATTTACTCTACTCTTGTAAAATTCACCCTTGGAGCCTGCAGCTGCTGGAGACTGCTATCTTCCTGCTAACAAGCATGCCAAAAAGAATGCATGCCCTACTGCTAGACCAGAAAGGTGTGTGGAAGCTTTTAAAGAGGAAAGATGGATCATTCTAAGTAGAAATACTTGTGGGCAAGGCCTTCACCGCCAATCCAAACCATTCTCTTAGTGATCCATATATTATATCTACATGTCAGTGTGGATAGGCCCTATGTATTTCTCAGACACAACAATTAAAACTTTCTGCCTCTAGTTCCAATCATTCTGAAATTTGTGTCTCATCCAGAGAGTCAGAAAAGCAAATATTTCCTCTCCTGCACCAGTGGTGGTCAGTGCCCATCAGGACTGGTTGGACAGGATGGCCAATGGATTTATTCCCTTACTTTCCCTTGCAATGCCACTGCAGAATAATTCCTTAATGTTTGATATCAAACTCAGCTGGAAAATAATATTTTCTTTTGGTTCACTAGGACTTCTATACTACTGTATTCGATCCACTTCTGATCCTTTTTAATGACTAGGTGAAAGCAGTACCCTACTTGCTCTAGTAGACAAAGTGCCACTACCAGTATCCCATCTCTGGTAACATGCAACATGCTTATGTTTTTCATACTGTTTAAACTTTAATTAAACTTTACGCCATGAATTGTTAAAGAAGGACACACCATCATGATCTTGGACAGGAACTAGAAAGTTAACCAGAACTCTATGATCATTCCATACTACATAGAGGGCAGTGCCTCCTATCTTCCCATTGTATCCAACATATCCTACAGTTTCATATATTATTCAAATTATTTGCATAGTGCAAGAGGTTTTATCAACTCAATGCTTGTTACTTTTAATGAACATGTCACTGCTTCTGTCTCTTTTTTTAGAGGAAGCACTGTATGAGAGATGTCAGACAATTTCATTTGAATTCTTTTTCATGCATTAGATCGTTAGCTGCATCATGAGCAGAAGATATTTCATAACAATGTTTCTATCATTTGCAAAAACCATTTAAAAACCAGCTGCATGTTCTGGGGCACCAAAACCTGATATTTATAACTTACTGCACTTATTTTACAGATGGCAGTCCTAGTAGCTCAGATAAGCCTGCACCGCATCATGGGCAGTTTGTTAAACAGAGGTGAGTGTTAGATATAGATTAGGCATTGCCTTCTTCTACTTTGATCCATGCAGGGTTTCTTATTTGATCTTTCTACAGAACATTTAACCCCAACCAAGTATTTGTTTCTTCACTCTACATAATGTTACCAGATCTTTTCATAGGTATGTTCAAGCTGGGCACATTTCGTCTATCGTTTTTATTAACAGATGTTTCTGATTTCATGCATAATGTAGGCTTTTTTACTTCAACCCTCAAAATACGATAGTCAAACAACAAAATTACTTTAATGTTCCCTTCTAAATGTCCCTGCAACCAACTTTCTCTTTCTTTCTTTCTTTCTTTCTTTCTTTCTTTCTTTCTTTCTTTCTTTCTTTCTTTCTTTCTTTCTTTCTTTCTTTCTTTCTTTCTTTCTTTCTTTCTTTCTTTCTTTCTTTCTTTCTTTCTTTCAAGTGTAAAAAGCTTTGTCCATCCTAAGCAGAACCTGATGAGTAAGCAATGGAAAACTTCTGCGAAGTAAGCATTAAAAAGAGAAGAAGAATATTATCCACATATTTAAAATAAGAAAAAAAACCCTCTACCATATATATATATATATTTAATACTGCTTCCATAGGGTAGATCATAAATTGTTATACATTTAAAACATTCTAAAATTTCTTGCACAGCAATAACATCCCATCGTATTTACTCACCTACCTAACAAAGAGCAGTAAGATACCCAGATAGATTTAAAAGTGATAATGTTCTCGCAAACTGTGTTAGCACTTTGTTATGTTATTTGTGCTTTCTGGGGAATACTTAAGCATCGCTTTAATATTTTGATGTCATTGGTAAAGTATGTGGGTTACCTCACACTGCCTTAAACGCCCTCAAAAACTGCAAGATACAAGTCCACTCTCACTGTTTTTTCGTTTTATATGATATTATCATTTATTAGTTTTACATTCGAACAGTAGTTGTTTGAGCTACTTTAAGGCATTAGTAGAAGAGTTATGCACAAATAGGAAGGAAGGAAGGAAGGAAGGAAGGAAGGAAGGAAGGAAGGAAGGAAGGAAGGAAGGAAGAGAAAATCTCCATGACAAATGTTGGGATAACTAATTCCCCTATCCTCCCAAATTGGTTTCTGCAGCCTAGATCATGAAGAGCTGAAATAAGAAAACAAGGTATCTGTAGAGCAAAAAATTACTTGGGCTACAAAACAAAAGATAAATCACATAATAAGAATGAATAAGAGTGGTTAACTTGTTTGTTAAATGTGTTTGTTTGACTGCATTTAACTGGCACTGTTAGTCCTGCTTTTCATCTAAAATTCTTTTCTGTAACCCAACCTGCTAGCTCATAAACGAATCCTTTTGTGAGTATTCATTCAACATGTTTCACAGTATACAGGCTTCTACTTTATGACCTGGCATTCCTATTTTATGCCAGTTTGGTGTTTTGTATAAGTCCTCTCTGTGCTTTGACTCTGCCCCTACCTAGCAGCATGACTATAGCAAGACATAAGTGGAAATTAATTATTAACAGGACATGGATGCTATTAGTTTGATTTATCATGATGCAGAATTCACTCAGAATCCAAACCCAGTTATCAGAATCTTTACAGGATAGACTGAGAATATAAAGAACTGTGTAGACAGGCAAGCACATGATTGTAAGGAGAAGCTGTTCGCTGCCATTATATTATATCTTCTAGCCATGTTAACAAGCACAGTAGCAGACCAATCTTATATTTATAATTAGAGTTTCATAGCTTGAAATCCCCTTATGTGCATCATAGGCTTCCTCTTATGAACACGGTACACACAAAAGAAAATAAGAGAAAGACGCACAGCACGCCAATAATGTACATTCCTAGAAAAGACACCCAGTTATTCAACATAAATTCAGCACTGATTTATTTGAATTATTATATGAAATTATGCACCACTGAGGGCTGCTAACTACAGTAACACAATCATCCTCCTCATCATCATTATGACATTGTAGCACACAAAGTCATTGGATTAAACCTATCCCTCTGAACACCTGAAGTGGACACTGCACTTCAAGAAGGATGCCAACAAACTGGAACAAATTCAGAGGAGGGCAACCAAGATGATCAGGGTGCTGGAAACCAAGTCTTATGAGAAAAGACTGAAATAATTGGGCATGTTTGGCCTTGAGAAAAAAAGGCTGAGGGAAGATGTGATAGCACTTTTCAAATACTGTACTTGAAAGGCTATCATACAGGGCAGGATCTGTTCTCAATCATTCCTGAGTGCAGTGGGCTAAAATTACAGAAAGCCAGATTTCGGTTGGATATCAGGAAAACCTTCCTAACTGTTAGAGCAGTATGGCAGTGGAACCAATTACCTTGAGAGCTGGTGAGTGCGCCAAGACTGGAGGCATTCAAGAAAAATTTCGACAACCACCTGACAGATATGCTTTGATTTGTATTCCTGCACTGAGCAGGGGGTTGGACTTAGAGGCCCCTTCCAACTTCATGATAGTGTTCTGTAAAACCAGTGCAAGTTCTAACTAGTTGTAATTAACTCTTTTGTGTGATAATGGAGCTATAACCATGTTACAACTGTACTGTACCTTGACAAGAAACATTTTCACTCTTCACTGATGTGTTACGGCAAGTCTGGCATTTGTTTTATAGGTCTAGGGGCGTGACCTCGCTGAATGATAGCAAAGGAACATCTCATGGTTCAATAACTCTGAATGTGTCTCTGGATGTTGGTTTTTTGTTTTTCTAAGATTGTTTTAAAAGTTTTAAATGCTTTTAAATTAATTGATTGATTTTCAATTATTACTGGGCCTGTAATTGCTTTGTAATCTGTAGTTTATTGTGGTTTTGGTATTATTTGTTTTAACATTGTAAGCTACCTTGGGCCTCCTCAGGGGAAACAGGCAGCCTACAAATCATACAAAATGAATGAATGAATGAATGAATGAATGAATGAATGAATGAATGAATGAATGAATGAATGAAATAGAGAAATGAAGAGCAATGGACGCAGACTTTCCTGGGACATGAGTTAAAGGCTGAATGAAGGAATGAATTCTGCTATTTCAATAAGCAGACAAAGGGAGGAGCCAGGTCACAGAACTCAAGGAGCTGCAGAAAGAGAGCGAGCGAGCATGGGGCTATCATCTGCATGGTGCTTTCTCAGTGTGGCATTTGTATACTGGAATTACAGCATATCAGATGTTGAGGAGAGATTAGTGAGGTTATTTGTTGATTCAGGAAGAGGGTTGTTTTTTAAAAAACTGTTACCGTTTGAGCAAAATACTGTACACCAAGCCTATGTACCAAATTGTGAGATATTACCTTAACAGAACGCAACAAGCTAGTGAGGTGAGCTTCTGATTGCAACTAGAAGTAATCACTCTGGGTGCCTATAGTAAGGTATGCAGGGAGTTTATTGCTCTAGATTCATTCAAAGTAAGGTAGAATACAAACTAGACCTGAGTACAGAGGAATCAGGAGCTGTCTTCTGTGTAGACAAGTGTGGAGGAGCCCTCGTGCACCTTTGCACAAGGAGGGAGACAGAAGAAAACAAAGAAATATAACTTCCTTTTTCGCAGGAGGAGGGGGACATCATGTCCTATGTGGCCCAGTCCTCTTCAGAAAATTAAGGCAGTAGGAACAAATTAGTGCTGGGGAAGATCCTCAGGACCCAGCTGGACGTTTCCCCCCAGAAGTACTGTACAAATGATTGATACAAGCTTTACTGAATAACCCACCCTTACAGTACAGTAAATAATTAATTAGTCCCAGCTAAAGATGGGAGGAGTCTCAGGTCATAGTGACTAAATACCACCGTCCCAGACAAACCTAGACTGTTGGAAGCAATGCTTGTAATAATATTTTATTCTAGTCTCCTTGTATCATGTCACTCTGAACTCCTGCCTCTTTACTTGGATTGTGAAAGACCTGCTCCTGTTTGCTTCCTCTTGGCATTGGTGATTTGGCATGTATATGATTTACAGCTCAATTACTTGCCCTCATCTCTGGCACTGCTCTTAAATGGTCCTTGAAACTTGGCTCTAACTACTTAGTGTTTGACCTGGTTGTTGACTCTCTCTCACTCCTGTTTCTGCACACTTGCTGCCTTGAACACAACAGGGGAGTTAAATTGATGGGGAAGGAGTAGCAAAAGGTGAAGAACAAGATACTCAAATCAGTTTGTCTATCCTTCGCTCTATTTCCCCACATTAGTTCCTTTTCATACATACATTCCTGCACTTATTTTTAACAGTCTCTAGTTGATGGAAAGTGATAATACCAGCAGGGATTATGAGCATGTGCAAAAAAGGTGGAAGAATTGAAGAGTGAGAACTAGGGAGAGAACTAGGAATAGAACGGAAGTATGCCCAGTACAGTAGCTAGAAATCAAGGACTCTTTTACTATTCCTCACAAATATTATATTAGCAAAGTATTTAGTGGAAGGAAGGAATGAACTGATTTCTGTTATTTGTAAAGCATCTCTGTTCCCATTTTAAAAATAAATATTTGTGCATATTCCTTATCAAGTAAATAGTACACATCTCTACTATTTGAGATTAATGTTGCCTATGGAAGAAGGAGGTTTGCAATTAAATTATGGGTTTTATGCTGTGCAGATCTAAGACATTAGCTATTCTTACAAAACAATAGGTTTATATTTCATGTTCCATACATTCTCATTATACATCTTCTGTCAGCAAAATTAAATTAGACAAGATTTCTGCTTGCATCATTTCAGTACTAATATCATTTAGAATACAAAATGTTCCTTTACTTTGAGTATAACACATCTTATCACAAATCATTTTGTTCTCAAAGGATAATATTGCAGTTTATATATGATAACATAAGTATTGCTTTTTAATATTTTCTAAAACAAAATTTACTGTTGCAATCTCTTATACTTTTTGTTTTCTTTACAAGCACGTATTCCATATCTGTTTAAGGTATGAAATATAAGCAGGCTGATACAGAATGAGGTCTGCTTTGGCAAAACTCCTTTTAAATAAAAGGCTACCCAATAATACTTAGGCAAAGCACTCTCTAAAAAATATACCTTGTATGATCAATTTAAAATGCCTGTTATGTTTTGTTAGGAATCTGCTGTCTCTCTGAATGAACTTTCTTTTAAAAAAAAAATTAAAGGAAGCAAACTAAGACAAAAATAGTGCCAGGAGAGAGTAGTGTGTGTTTCCTTGGTAACATAATGTATCAGTCGTGTCTCAGAAAATGGTAGCCAATCTTTTAGGCAGAAGTTTCTAAGGGCATTTTCAGATTATTTGGATCAACAAGGACCTCCAGCTAATTTTGGAGAGAGTTCCTGTACCTTTCATACAAGTCTGACAGAGGGAAAAAATTGTTACATGACATTTTGTCTGTTGTTGCAACACTAGAAGAGCTTCATTAGTGAAATCCCTTGCTTGTAAACATCCGTTACATTTCTAGACTGGTGTTTTGAAAGTAAAGAGGCCAGAAAATGCTTGATTTGTAGCATCCTTGTATTGCTAGATGGATCTAATAGGCAGAGTTGATGTTTTGCAAAATGCTCGGCATATGTTCTCATTTTTCAGTTATTTCTGTACAAAAGTAGAGAATTTAACATTTATTTATTTATTTATTGGATTTTTACCCCGCCCCTCTAGACCATGTCTACATCAAGCTTAGTTTGTGCTATCACACAGCTCAACAAAGCTGAAGATTCTAGAGTATGGAGGAATAACATTTTAATCTACATGTTTGCTATGGGTGTGTTATGGATCAACTGGAACCAGTTTCTTATAGAAGATACAAAGAACTAATCAATTCCTTGTTTGAAATTTAAAAGAAGGCAATTCACTAGGCCAGTAACCAGATATTATATTATTGGCTAAACACATATCTTCTAATAAAGTGCAGTTGTAGGAAAAACATAGCAGTTCTTTCCCAGGAACAGTAAAACATACAGAAAAGTTACCCTGGGAAGTGGACTACATTTTCCAGCTGTTTGAACCTCATCATATCTGTAGCAGTAAAATTAACTTCCTGCTTCAGACTGTAGAGAGAAATATATTTGCACCCCAAATCACATGATTTTAGATGAAAGGTTTTAAAAAATGGCCTTAATTTACAGTACCCATTGGTTATGCAAGTTATCAGAAAATAACAGTGTAAATACTGTATTTAGTTGGAATAATTGTTGTCTATGTTGACTCTCTACAACACTACTGTAATGTTTATGTCCTTTGAACCTACTGCGGCTGAAACTCTGCTGCTTTGTTACACATGCAGAAGGCAAATGGCTTTTAGCTGGGAATTAATGAGTCACAGCTGGAATTCTCAGGGGTGCTTTTGCTTGCTTCCTTGGCACCCACTCAGGAATCCTGGTTGGGACTCATTAATATACAGCTAGAAGTAACTGAATGTTATACTGCTTGCCTTGAACATAAAGAGCAAGAGAATTTCAGCCTATGAATGATAAATACAATTACAGAATGACTGAAAAGTTATAAATATATTTCCCATAAATAAGTGTTGTTTTGTTTCTGTCATCACCTAGGTTCTTTGATAGAATAAATCATGAAATGGAAGATTCGAAAAGTTGACAACCACTGGTTTAAATGAGAGTTTTTCAGAAAATATCTCACTTTAAAGTACATGAATATTTTGTTTTTGCTACCATATCAATGGTATTTATGAATTTCATGTTATCTATAGACATACTTTGGAGCAGTTAAACAAGTAGAGTTGACCGTCTCAGTGTCCCTTTGGGCAAAATCTATTGTATGAATCTGTCAGATCTGCTTTGATTTGAATTCGTGCATTGAGCAGGGGGTTGGACTCAATGGCCTTACAGGCCCCTTCCAACTCAATTATTCTATGATTCTATGATGTCAGAACATTCTCCCAAGAGCCCTGCAGAACTTTATAGACTTCTTGAGAATAACCAAAAGTCTGTATTAGTCACAGCTGACAGTGCAAGCTGATGATAGTGCCAGTCAAATTTAATTTAAATTATTGTAATTGAAAGTGTCCTATCCCCATTCACCATTCCAGGTTCCACAGCTCCCTAGGGCTCCCTTTTGCTCTGGGGAAGACTTTGGGAGTCTCCGGATGGTGGTGATGGTGTGTGTGTGTGGAGCCTTTCATAGTCAAAAATCACTACTGGATCACCACCGCTAAGATCAGGATGGTGGAGCAGCTTGGGCCAGCAGATGGAGAACCTGATTGGGCAGTAGTTGCTGATACACTGAAGATGGATCACAGAGGAAGAAAACCTAGGGAACGAACAACAGGAGATTACAACTTGAAAGGGGATAGCATACTTTTCCTCCAGCAATGTGACTCCTCTTGTTGGCAACTCAGCAAGACACAGTGAATAGCAGCTGTGAGCAGAGTCATGGGAAGCCAACCTTACCTCTGCCTTGGGTGGCAAAATGGCTTGGACTGGCTCTAGTCTCACTTCTATACAGCATATGAACTGTGTGTTAGCTTCCACTCCAACCTTTTTGCTATTTCAAATGTGAACCAGTACATTCTCAGTGGAATTCTGTGCATGATGAGTGGGAATGACTATCTGCTTGAACCACTTTGGCAGATGCACTCTTGTTTCTACATTCTGCTGGTACACAATAAAAGAATAATGGAGTCAGAGAGCTGATTTGGAACCATAATTAGTCTTTGGCTTGGACATCATATGTTTAAATCTTTGCTAAGTTTTGAATCGTAATGTTGTTTGGGCTATTACTTCCACCAGGATAGCCCACGTTTCAGTGCTGTGAAGATAAAACCTTCTTGGGGATATGCACATTACATCGAGTTCCTTGAAGAAAACAGAGGATATTGATTAGATAGGCTTTTGTTGCTTGACCAAATTTGACTTGATTTTAGGCCAATTTACTATCACATATTCACACATCCCAGGGACGTGGTGGTGCTGTGGGCTAAACTGCAGAAGCCTATGCTGCAGGGTCAGAAGACCAGCAGTCGTAAGATCGAATCCACGCAATGGAGTGAGCTCCTGTCACTTTGTCCCAGCTCCACGCCAACCTAGCAGTTCGAAAGCATGTAAATGCAAGTAGATAAATAGGTATCACCTCGGTGGGAAGGTAAAACGGCATTCCCTAGTCATGCTGGTCACGTGACAACGGAAACTGTCTTCAGACAAGCACTGGCTCTACGGCTTGAAAAATGGAATGAGCACCACCCCCTAGAGTCGGACACAACTGGAATAAAAAAGTCAAGGGGAACCTTTACCTTTTTACTATCATATATTAATAAAATATGGCCTCAGTAGAACTTCTTCAATAAAAATGAGAAAAGCACTTTTGCAATTGGTTTCAACTAAGGGACATAGTCTCCTGATAATTTCTTTTCCAAAGGATATTTATTTGGAAGGATAGTCACAGTGCTTACAGTCTTATTGAAGGTGATTAGACTTCCGAGACTTGAATACATCTCGGAAAGAAAGGAAGGAAAAAGGCACAAGCAAACTATTAAAGCTTGGCAGGCAAAGTTGAAGCTGGGAAACAGATATTTTCTCTTTGTTCACTTTTCCCTCTGAGATAAGCAGGCGCACAGTCCCAAGTATCTCATAAAATCAGTTACAGTTCTACACATGCATGCACAAGTGCTAGGTTGTATTTACAAGATACACAGAAATTCTTATTCATCCACATACCTTCCTGGTGACAGAATCAACCCATTATTTCAGATCTTTGAGGAGTTATTTTGTTACATGTAGTGAGCAGGAATAGATATTTATTGTCCATGGATAACTGGAACTGTTAGGTCAGGTTTAGGTTATATGACAACAATTGGATTCTAACCATTAAAATAAAGTTCCAACAACTTTACAAACTGTAGGGATAATTCTTTTAAAGCATTACACTCACTTTTGGTCAAATCTCAGCAAAGTTACTTTGTTGAACTATGATCCCCAGAATCTCTCAGGCAGCATAGTCTCTGGTCACATGTCAGTGTTAGTGTTTCTCTTTGTCCCTACAATACTGTAATCTTATAACAAAGATGACTGCTAGTCCTATTTGTGGATGTCGCATCCACCCAGTGTCCTTTGTTTATTTTCCCTAAACACAAGCCCACCCTCTGGATGCGTTTCCTCTCTTCACGCTGCCACCCATCGACCAGTGGATCTTATCCACTCTATACCAAATAGATATATCTTAGACACGTGCTGCCAATACAACAGATTTATTGATCTTATAGTTGTTATGCAAATCACAGATATCAATCACAGATATTTAGGATCATTCATTAAATAGCATTTGATTACATGTTGGTTTGTATGTGTTTTTATTCACTTTAACAATACTCTTTGACTATCTATTTATTCTCTACACTTTTTTAACTCTTTCCTATTGTCTCTAGCATTGCAGCTTTCCAGTCTCTGTCTTAACTTTCTCAATTCAATCTCCTACCCTCTCTCTTCAATTCGCTATCTCCCAACCTCTTTTCCCTAACTCTCCTTCTAACTCTCTGTCTAACTGTTCTTTTTGGTTCCATCCCTCCTGCCTATCATAGGCTCCTCCCTTGAGCTCCCCATGATGGACAGGCGTGATGTGGGGCATTCCGCCGCATACCTCCTCCCTTGGAAAGTTTGTTTCCAAGCAATCCTGTTCACCACAGGTTGAATCCCTATTCCCTAATCTGCCTTTTGATTGACCAGGAGCACTTCTGTTTTAACTGGATTGATTTTCAATATATTTGCCCTTATTTAGTCCATTACCAACATCACACATTGGTTCAGAACAAAAACAGTTTCCTCTGAGTTAGTTCTAAAAGAAAGAACAGAGATGAGCATCATCGGTGTATTGTTGGCACCAAAATTCAAAATTCTGGACAACCTCTTCCAACGATTTCTTGTTAATGCGAAATGGCATGGAGGACAAAACAGAATCCGAAGACAAAGACAAGAGTTATCCAGCAACACCTCCTGAGTTTGCTCCCCCAATAATGGCCACAGCCATTATAAGAGAGTTCCTCTAAGTCCCATACCAGAAAGACAGTTCAGAAGGATACAGTGGTCAATGGTATTTAAAGCTGCTGAGAAATCCAGCAAAACCATCAGGAAAAAACAAGCAAACCTCAATCTAGTTCCTGGTTGTCCACCAAGGAAACCAGAGTTATCTCTGCCCTGTATCCATGTCTGAAGCCAGATTGAAATGAATCTAGATAGTCCATTTCATTAAGAATCCTTGGAGTTGAGAAGTCATCTCGGTATGCCTGACAACAGCCCTAAAGGACCAATATAGGCAACCACACAAGTAAAAAACAAAATAAAACAACGCAAGTGAAAACATTAGACAAAAATGCAAGCCAAACAAAATACCTTGTACCACATCTTCACACCAAAAGGTTGGATCTACTCATGCTTAGCAATAACGTGATGTAGTCAACAGAATAAATACCAGGAGACGGCAAATACCCATCTAGTCACTTCTTCTCTTGGCAGTTCTAAATCAGAGGTTCGATGACCATCTATCTGTAAGGGATGCTTTAGCTGGAGTTTGGAGCAGATGCCCTGTTGAAATGCTTTCAGTTCTGATTCTGATACACAACAGGTACAATCCTATTGGCATCCAGTGATGCTGGTGGAAGCTAATAATGTCATCAGCTGGAGTTGGTAAATTTAAATTAATTAAAAGCTTCCTGGATTCTATGGCTTCCCGGGTCTCTCTTTTGCTCTGAGGAAGCCTTGGGAACCTCAAGATTGTGGGGGGCAGGCTTTAATAGTAAAAAAAATCACCACTGGATCATCACTGCCAAGACTGGGACAGCAGGAGTATTTTGGTCAGTAAAAGGACCTTATTCCTTTTATATAAATCAGAGATTGGCAATTTTCTTCCCTCAGGGTTCAGCAGGGGCACATAGACAACCAGAAATGTGAACAAATGAAAATAATTATTTCCATTTTTAGTTTTGATGATGTGGCATCATTTCATGTTAAACACCATGGAGACGTCCAGAAGCATCCATTCACAGGCCTTAGGCCCTCTTTTAGCAACGGCATCAGGAATTCTGAAGGAGCTAGAGGCTTTGTCTATGGTGCTTTGTGTAGCCTTATTATAAATTACATTCATATTAATAGAATATATATGTTTACATATCCTGAACATTAGGTGGATGCTGGATAGTAAATGTTTAAATACCCATAATCCTCACTGCAAAACAAATAAGCAAACTTTAAAATATCCACCGTTGTCCAAATAGTTGGTATGATGCTTTGCTGAGACATATCAGCTATCACTTATATTCTACAGGAGGTAGCTGGATCAGTAGAGCATAATCAGATGCCATGTCTCTCTTCTTCAAGGTAAGGAACAAGTACAGTATTTTTCCCAGTGCATATGTGTATATCAATGTGCAGAAATGCATCTTGTACAGTTTCTTCAGACCTTCTAATTCTGCTGATGCAAAGGGAGAAGGAAATTACAGGTGGCTGTGTGGGCTAAACTGCAGAAGCCTGTGCTGCAGGGTAAGAAGACCAGCAGTCATAAGATCGAATCCACGCGACGGAGTGAGCTCCCGTCGCTTTGTTCCAGCTCCTCGCCAACCTAGCAGTTCGAAAGCATGCAAATGCAAGTAGATAAATAGGTCCCACCTTGGTGGGAAGGTAAAACGGCATTCCCTAGTCACGTTGGCCACGTGGCAATGGAAGCTGTCTTCAGACAAGCGCTGGCTCTATGGCTTGAAAACGGGATGAGCACCGCCCTCTAGAGTCGGACACAACTGGAATAAAAATGTCAAGGGGAACCTTTACCTTTACCTATAGGCTGCTGATATACAACCTTCCATTTTGCAATGTCTTGTTGGATGTGAAGTCTTTTGGGATGGAAAGCACTGGAAGGATTATTGCACAGCTTGAAAGTCACTTCTGTTATACTAACTTGTACTTCTAAGTTAAATTCTTAATTGTACAGAATAAAATCAATGTGTTATTCTCCAAGGAATTGCATTGCTTATTTTAAACGTATTTAATAAAACTTCTTTTTGGCAGCGACATCAGATGGAAAGAGTCAAACACAAGTTCACGTAAAACTGTCAAGTGGACAGTGGATTGAGCACTTTAA